TTCATAAACTCTGAAGAGCGACGTCTGTGACGCAATGACAAGGCAAACCTCGGAATCTATACAGGAGCTCTTAGAATCCATGAGGAAAGATAATCTTAATTAAATTCACAAAGAAATATGAAGAGGGGAAAACATTAGGATACGCTTGAGGGAATGAAATCAAATTTGAAAAATCATCAATTTTCATAGCACACTTGGTTAAAATGAATCTCTGTACGATTTATTGAAGGAAATAAGGCGAATGAGTATTTAATATGACATTCCTTGGACAAAATTTCAGTTATTTCACGTTGTTAAATTATCACAATTCGATGCCTACGTTGGTAGGTGAGCAAATAAAATAAACATTAAAATGTAGTTTTTTTGCATGAAAATGTTTTCCTACAAATACTCAACTATTCAATTTGAAAAGAAATTATTCAGTTTCAAATCTATACTATTTTATATTAAAAGCCTAGCGGTGGCAGAAAAAATTTGGAGGATATGAGAAAACTGCCGTTCATCACGCTAAAGACATGAGGGCACTTTGGCCACTTCACACGAAAATACACTTTTCTTTGCTCTTCTCTTTCCTTGTTTCTAGAACTTTCTATATCACATTTTAGAGCTTGCCAATTTAATCTCTACTGCCTCGTATACACTATGAGAAGATATAAATATGAAATGATGAGATTCTTTTCCATGCAAACAAATATGACAAAAACAACATTAGAAATTTAAATAGATTCCAATTTAAAATATCATGAAAAGTGTATATTTAAATACTTAACTTAAAAATAATTAAATAAAATAAGCCGAGGATGAAATATGAAAAAAATGCTCTTCTTAAAGACATGTCTAGAAAAATTATGTCACTACTCAAATTAAAACATATGTCACAGTCAATCTTGAATAAGGCAACACAAAACATAGCATATTATAGATGAACGAGTATCATACAAAAATCTTATAAATATCTACGATATATATAATTTAAGATATTAAAGTGATTTTTTTTTTTTTGTAAAAATTAGATTTAAGTCCTAATGTCGATTGCAAGTGCAACAATGCTAGTTCTTTGAAAGCAACTTAAAGTCAACTAAATTATCAATCCTTTTATAGATCATGAAAATATAACTGTGGATAAAAATTTTACGAGGCTCTAAACCGAATAATTCCACAAAATTAATAATGGCCGATAGAGCTTTGCTATAAGAACCCAAAATATACGATCAATAGGGGAGGACAAGTGAGGTGTCCCCCTCCTATTGGATAATGAGTTGGCCATCATTAATGATGGCCAACTTATTATCCAATAGGAGGGGAACACCTCACGTGTTCCTCCTATTGGTCCCATATTTTGAGTCCTTAAAGAATTTTTCTGCCCCGATAAACAATTTTTATGATCAAGAGTAACCCCATCCCGTTCTCCAACGCGACACCATACGTCGCTGTCGGCAGGGCCAAGGCGACGCGTCGGTAGGCCCGAACCCACGTGAGGATTCCCTGGCTCCGATCTAGATCGCAGCTCGCGAGGGATTCCAACCCCAAACTCGTACTCCCGGCTTACGTGGCGACGACGCGTGGCCATGTAAGGTTGCCTGA